ATAGAGGTTATTCGAGGATGTAATCAGTTCACCTTGAGTTTACATTCTATTCATATTTATACGCTTCTGTGTGCTGGTCAATCCATGCCCTTCAAAAAAGCATGACATTTTCTGCACACAGAGAATCTACCTTTCCTTTACTGGAGATAACAAATTCTGAATGTCAACGTCAAATTTTAAAACCACGGTTGTAAGGCAAACTCAACCTGAACTAGCCCATGGACATCATTATACATAACAATGGCAAAATTCATGCAAACCGAGAAGAGTGTACTTATGATTGTTGTGGAGTCTGATTATAGCAAATCAGTATATCAATATATATATGAGACAGTATGATTCACCTTGAGTCCACCAGAAGTGTGGAGCTAGTGTTATCTACAGCTACATGTGTTTCCTGTTTCCTGTATGTTATAAGAAATTTGAGGATTATATAACTTTTTGTCCTTAAATTTTCTCTCAATTATCAGTTTAATTTTTAAATTTTAACTCAATAAAATTCAATTCTTATAACATATTGAGTTGAGAAATTATAACAATTGAATCATATCAAGTCAAAAAATTATAAAAACTGAATTATTTCAAATCAAGAAATTATAAGGATTGGGTTGTTTTGATTTAAAGTTAAATGATTAAATTGATAATTGAGTAAAAATTTTGGGACTACATTTTTTTTCTTCTTAAATTTTTGAATAGTGCAACTTGTGATATATTCAAGTTCATAGCTTCCAATCATTATTGTGATCCATGTGGAAAATAGACGGAGAAAATCCAGAGGCTCTGAGCAGGGGTGCTTTTTCGAAGTTGTAAAGGCGTGGTGATGAAGATAAAAAGTAATGGAATATAAGACATTTTAAAAGTAGCTTTGAAGCCTACAGCTGTTTCTTGTTTGTTTGCGCCTCCTTTCTTTCTCGCATACACACACTGTTGAATTGTCTGACGTTAATAGCAAATTACTTATGAGTCATGTTTCATTCATTTATCAATAAAGAATTGTTATTATTATTATTATTATTTTAGTTAATAGAATGGGGTCAAATAGAAGGAATTGATCACTCATAATATAACAAATTCAAATTCAAATTCTGTTCATAATTAATGTTTTATTGTGTTTCGAACATGATTGCTTTTAATAAAAAGATTTTCGTGAATAATTAAAAAAAATGTTATTTCTTTAAACACTGAAAAAAGAAATTGGTCTAAAGAAAGTGCTTGACTAGTTCTGCTAAGGGGTACCTTAAGTCCTTAACATATTTCCAAGCAGTGTATGATGATTACTTTCTTCAATTGCTCGCTTCAGAAGATGTCATTTTGAAAACGTCTCTTTGGGGAAAAAATGTGTAAAAGACAACCAGATTAACCAGATTTTTATCAGATCAACCAGTTGAATGTTAGATAGATGTCCATATTTATTTTATCAGATCAACCGGATTTTTTAAAACTACATAACATGATGCCAAGCATTTCTTTCATATATTATGTCATCATTTCCTACTAGTTGAAATTGATATTATTCAGCGAGAACGGCAAATAAGTACTTTTTAAGAATATTAATATAAAATATAAAATTTTAATATTGAAATATGGTAGAAGGATACTGAAAGTTGAAAAATTATAATTTAATATTAATCTTTTTATAAAATTTTTATTTATCATTCTTCCTATTATTTATGACCAAATTCCGTAGTTATTTATATCAAGAGTTTGAAAAATCAACCGTTCCTCTGACCTAAACCTCAAATGCCTTTATTGCAATTATAGCTAGATAACAAGAAGCTGTTGAGAAAAATCGAACCACCAGGGAATCTGCTTAGTATCCGCGCCTAATGTTATATTTTCATGTAAAATTATAAATACATTAAAGAAATAATAAAATTTTTAGCTCTGTAAATTTGTTTCTGTTATTGATTTGGTCTATCAAATTTAATTTTTGTTAACTTAATCACTTGAGTTAGTCTCAATGATTATTATTTGGTACATATTATTTAAAAATAATGTAATATTATTAAAATTTACTAACACAGAAAATGCAATGTTAATAGTAGTGATATAGATTAATGAAAAAAAAATGTAATTGTTTATGTAGGAAAAAACAAACTCAATTTTAAAAAACAAAATAACAAAGTGAAGCATAGCAAACTACATTGATAAAAATTAAAGTGATTTAAGAACTAACTTGTTATTCTTGAGCTATATACAAGTCAGGTTACCAACTTATATTACACATTAAATTAATTTAAAAGTTTATTTGCGTTTCAAAATATAAAGTGTTAATGTGATAATTTAGAGATCAAATCAATAATTAAAACAAATTTAAAAGGTTAAAATTTTTACTATCCCTGTATTAAATTAATCATAACTAGTTTGATGACAATCAAATTACTAATTATTGAATCATTATCTTATTTGGTTCAATAACTAGTTAAGTTTTTAAATCCTTGATTAAGAGAATTCAAGTGCTTTGAGACTGAGGTTATAAATTATTCAATGATTATCATTAAAAGTGAAATGGGATTTTTGAATTTGGATGATCAGTTGTAATATATATTTCATTATAAAACAAATCATACAACAATTGAATAAAACAAATCATACAACAATTGAATATCAAATCCTCCATCTAATCACATATCTGACCATATCTTGTTGAATTTAAAAAAAAAAAAATTGAGGTTGCGTTCATGTATCTAGGAAGATAACAATACATAATAAGACATGGATGCAGGAAATTAAATAATCCACGTTTCAAGTGAGTGGATAGAGGAGAACATGAGGCACAAATGGATACACTATGATGTTCCTCAGTCCTCACATGGCTCTAAAATTTTAAAACAAAAAATGAAAGGGGAAATTGCTCTTCAAAATCTTGATAACACAAATTACGAAAAGGGCCTTGAATTTTGATAACAATGGAGAATAACATGGGCCGCTTGGTCAATAATGAAAATGACTTGACCAAGATTTTCCTATTCATTTGAAAATGCAATGATTTTTATAAATCGAAACCTTAGTTAAAAAAAAAAATTACAAGAACTCAGTTATGAATAAATAAACCTTGGGTACTTACAGAATTCATATCATGAGCGTCTGTGTGGGTGTGTACGGATTTATGGGCGAAGAAGGAAAAAACATCAAACCTAGCAGCAAGGCAGATTTGAATCCTCTTTATACTGTCTTTCAATACTTGCCTCTATATCAGATTACATATATTTATTTAATTATTTATTTGATTTTTGTAAAATTGCTAATGATGATAATAAAATAAGGGAGATTCACATTCAATGATTACTTAGACAAATTAATTGTAAATAAAGAATAACAATGAGTTTTATTAAAAAAAACAAATTCATGTACCCATTTTAACAACAATCAATTCTGTATTAGTTTTTATCTACAAATAATTTATTTAAGTGATTCTTAAGTGTGATTGTTCCTTAAAATAAATATATTATTCACTATTATTATCACTTAAAGACTTTTGAAACTAGTACCCCCTTCGTTAAAAAATGCAAGGCATTTTTAACTAAATCTCATCTTTCAATACAGTAGTTACCTACTTTTAAATTAATCATATATTTCTTTATTTACCTCTATTAAACACCCTATAGTAAATATAAAATTATTCATTAATGAAGACACTTTTTAAAAAATAAGACAATAATTACATCTCAAAAGACTAAAAATATTTTACATTTTTAAATATCCAACTCCTTAATAAATGCATTATATTTTTTAACAGAGAGAGTATCATAATTCTCCTTTATAACAATATATTAAATGAATAATATATTTATTTTAATGTTATCGTTAGTGATCTTATATACCATCAAATCAAATAAATAATTAAATGAATGTAATCAAGTATGGAGGCAAGTATTGAGAGAAGGTGTGGAGAGGATTCAAATCTCTCTCAAACTCTCACTTTAAAAATAAAGAGAAACTTGTATTACTTAATTAATTGGACAAGTTTGATATGGTTGAATGTGTGTCTTTTTATTATTACTTCACTTCAAACTTTAAAATTAAAACTTCAAAATATTCATTATTTTAATCCCATTAAAATTGACATATATCATGAGATTAGAAGATAATGAATATATGAATTAATTATTATTAGCTGTATAAAATTGTTTCTATGCCTAAAAAATATTCATAACATTTAATAATCAACTCTATATATATGGGGCAAACTAAAACTCCATGTATGGAGCAAACCAAATTGAGAGAAACTCTCCCTTTACACTCGACAAAGTAATATACTCCTGATTCTAAAAATAATGTCAAAATAAATAACGTAATTTATCGTACAATATAACATAATTTTTTGATAAGTAATATTATTTACAAGTCATGAAAGATATAATATTTCCCTACAATGTACTTGTGCTATTTAAAAATACAAAAGAAGAGAAGAGAAAGAAGTTAAAATATAATTTTATATCATCTACTCAAAACTTTAAAATTTTAAGACAACGTAAAGCATGCAAAATCTTAAAACTTGAGCGCAAATGTAATTTAAAATTAAAAAAATATAATTTTAAATCTTTATATTTTATTTTAATTTTGTTATAGGTCCTTTTTTTCAGTGTTATAAATTTTTAGATATTTTTATATTTTGAATCTCTATACGCCGAAAAAAAAAATAAGAACTTAAAATATTAATAAAAAATATAAAAATTTATAATAAAATTTAAGTAAAGTTGTTTTAAAATTTCAAGAGTACACTAAAATCTGTAATACATGGCTCTCCAAATAAATCAACTCAATCCAATTATCACAGGTTATACGGATAAGCTCTATTAATTAAATAATTCTAAACTCTCACATTCACACAGTGAAATAGATAGTAAATCTCCATTTTCATCAATCTGGAAGGGGGAAAACACATGGCATCTTCAAAAAAGGAGCAACAATTTTAAAAGCTAACGACTTTAGCCTACATTCATAGCTCAGAACTGACTGATGTGCTGCTGATCCCAAACACCCCATGAGCTTGGCGCCAAATTTCATGTCTCTCTCTCTCTCTCTCTTGCCCGTCGGTCAGAAATTTTCTCGGGCACCTCTTCCTGCACCATCTCTCTCTGGTTTTCTATATCTTTGTCAGCGACTCACGAGTTTCCTCGGGTTCTCTCCCCCCGCAATTGGCCTATAACAATCACCATCTCAACCTTCACCTTCCTCACATTCTTCATTTATAACCGTATCTTACAGTTCTCTCCAATCTCTTTCACTGTTCCCCCTGCTTCAGCAATCTTCATATTCACTCTTTCCTTGTTCTTCTGCACTTTCCTCCTGGTTTCACTCCTTATTCTTATTCCCTCCACGCTCAAAAAAGGATAAACGAACAAAGTCTTTTTTAACCCCTTAAAAAAGCCATCTTTATTCCCTTATTCCCCTGCCATTTTTATATATATACGCTATCTTGAAACAGTTTTTTGTTTTTCTGGTTTATAAATATGGGGTTCTCTGAGAAGGCACAGGTCGTGGAAGGAGGAGGCTTTGAGTCGTCGTCATCGTCGGATACTGCTACTAACAAAAAATGGGTCATCGCCGGAATCGCTTTACGAGCGCCGTTGAAGCCAATTTACACGGCGGAGAAAGCACGCGACGGCGAGGAGCTTGAAACGGATCAGGAGTGTCTGACGACGCCGACAGGAGAAGAGTCCAGAATCCCACCGCCTTCCACGTGTCCGCCGGCTCCTCGGAAGCCAAAGCCGCCGTCTTCTTTCAAGTGCAAGTATCGCCGTGGCGTTAACAAGTTCTTCGCTCCTCCAGATTTGGACACAGTGTTCATACGCCATGTTGAAAAAGCGAGCTAACGGATCTGCTATATATATATATATATATATCTTCTCTAGCTCTCTTTAATTAGCTTCGACCTTCATTCTCTTCTTTCAGTTTCAGTTGTTTGGATAGCTATAACTATAACTATTTGTATAAACTAGTCTGAATCAATAAAATGACCTATCGATATTGTACTGTGTGCGTGATTCGCATCCTTATCGCAGCAAGATCGTAACTTGTCCTTCTCAGGTTGCTTTTTTAACTAGTTCATTTAATAAAGTTAGTGCCGCAATAAAATCAGACTGTACCGGCGTCAAATGCTTTAGTGACATTATATATTTATGACATCATTAAATGTCACCTATAAATCTGGCAGAGATAAGAATAGAGATAACAAGAATCTCATGGACGAGTAGATCTAGGTTCTGATCATTTGATGATGAGAAGATCACACTTTAGAGCAGCTCAAGTTTATGCTTTTTCCCTGTGTGTACGAGCTGAATAAGAAGGTAGACTTTTCCATATTTTTTGCCAGTGAGAGATCTTAACGTTTCAGTGTTAGTGAGTGATCACTGTTAAAGGCCACGCACAAGAGTGAAAAATTTCCAAGTCAAAATCAAAGGGTACGTATATTATATTATTATATACTGTAAATAGCCCATAGAAAAGTAAGAGTGAAGTCTTTTTCAAAAGAACTATGCCTTGTGCAGATGCTACACTCGTTGTTTCTCATTGCTCACTCGAGAATTTTAGACAAAAGTTCCCACACGAGTCTTGAACACGTAGCCCTCTCTCTCTCTCTCTCTCTCTGTGCGCGCTTGTGCGTATGAGTCTCACAGTACTAAATGAGTCCTTCCATTAACATGCTCGTTTTTTATAATTGGATAACATTAGTGTTTTCAAGAGTTCAATGACACAGAAAAGACTGTTTGCAGAATATTTTAATCATAGTAGGTTGAGTGAAATTTCATGACTTTATAAAAGCCATAAGCCACCTCTCAAATGGGAGGCATCTTTATGAGTCTCGCATCAATGAACCTAAAAAAAAAGGATGGAGTTTATAAATTCAAAAAAGTTTTTCCAAACCCAACGGACTCGTATTTTTAGATGGACTGCTGTTTAGTCTGATTTTATTTCTTCTTCTCCTTCTTATGTTCTTTTGACCTTAAGACTTAGGGTCTTACAGTGACCCACATGTCCTCCAAGGCGACCCACCTGGGGACGATTGGGACTGATAGTGGGAAGGTTCTGTGTAGTGGCTTTTTTGTGAGTGAGCTGATGAATGCGTAGGTGATTAGGAAAAGCGACAAAAGACAAACCACATGTGAATTAAAAAGGAAGATTAAGAATCCTATGCTTTACTCGAATGGCCACTGCTTATTGCACTTCCAAAGTTTCAACACACTTGAGCACCAATAATTGATCTTACAATATATTGAACGGTTTGAACATGTAATATTGCTTTATAGCTAGAATAATTTCAAGTCGTTATATAGAATGTTTACGCGTAATTGCAATCTGCAAAACCTCGTTACTTTACTAATTAAGTAGGTACAACGCACATGACCCTACCCGGAGTTGAGTTTTTGATTATTTCATTTTTATGGAAAAATAATGTTTATGTTAAATAAATTTTGATTATCTGATTGATATAATTTATTCTTTATTTTTTTGGTTGACAAGGGTGACACCGCGTAAAGTCGGCACAGGCATGGCGCTCTGCCGCTTCATCAACATGCTAGAAATACTAATATAGTTGAAATGCATTTTTCCTTATTTCTATTTAAATCTTAATTTTATTTTTATAATATAAAATTTTGAATTGAATCTTATTCTAGTTCTTTTTTTTTTGTTATTTTTCATAAGAATTTATTAAATCTTATTGATCTAGTTAATTATTTATACATTATTTTTCCTTTGACAAAACTGATAAGGTTGTGACCAAATTCTATCAAGAGATATTGTACTTGCATGTTAGTCACAGACATTGTATATTACTCCTCCATCCTATCCTACTTGGTATTAACTCTACTCGAAAGTGATAGCTTCAACTAATTCAGATTCGAACCGAGTCAAACTTTAAGGGGGCATAGCTCTTTTAAGCACATCATCTCCATTCCCATGATTTTAATGATTCAAGCCCGAGAATTGATGGTTAAGAAATTTAGATCCCTTTCATCTGAGCCAACATGTGTTGGTATTTGATAGAATTTATCCTAAATATAGAGGCAAACCTACTTTACTGAAATGGAAATGCATGATTTTAAATAATCAAAGTCGTATGCTGCATCCATAATATAAGACACTTTTAATTAATTTATCATGATGAGATAAGATAATCAAGCCATTAGCTTTGTTAAAAAATAAAATAAATTTTTAACTTTACTTTTATTTAAATAAAAAATTTTAAATTTACATTACATTGTCTCTGATAATTAAAGAGCTTAAAGAGAATTAATATTGAAAAATGTAATTAATACACTCGTCAAATGGGAAATGGATTATGTGCACTAGGAAACCGTGTCGTGAATGGAAAGTGAAAAATACTAACCATAAATTTTATCTAATGGCTAATGAGAAATAAGTGTATAAAAATATTCTTCATTTGCAAGCATACAATCACGTTTTATTCAAAATAAAAATTTATAAAAATATAATATTTTTAATAATTTTGTTAATAATTAATTTGGACAATACATATTTTATATGAATGGTTCAATTTAATATTAATTTTTTTATTTTTTATAAATTGGCTATTCAGATATACTCTAAAGTCTGGACAGTTTATACTTAATGTTAAATTTTTTATAATCTTTATAATTTTTTATTTTGATAAATATAATATTAAAAATAAAGATAATTTTCTAGCACCTTCCAAAAAATATTTTAAAAAAATACAAGTTAAACATTTTAAATATGAACCAAAATCAAATATAAATTATCCAGAGTATATTTGGAGAGTTTATTTATAAAAAATAAAAAAAATTAATATTAATCTTTTAGATAAAATATATGTTGTCCAAATTAGTTGTTAATAAGCTTATTAAAAATATTATATTTTTATAAATTTTATTTTGAATAAATTGTCATTGTATGTTTGCAGGTGAGGAACTTTTTTATAAACCTATTTCTTGCTAGCCACTAGATAAAAATCTATGGTCAAGATTTTTCACCTCTCGTGCTTTGCACGTGATCCATATCCCATCAAATGCGTTATATCATCAATGACTAAAAGGTTCCCCATAACAAGAACCGGAGAGACTGGAGAGTATATAGTAAAATATAATTAATTTACATATGTAATTAATATTTATAATTTTTTATTATTATAAAATATATATTTCTAATTACAATTTTTAAATCACAAGACTTAAAATTAATTAATTAATTAATTAAAGCTAAAAATAAAAAATTCAAATCTTGCAAGTGTGGTATAAAAGCTTTATAAGTTATGAATATACGATAATTTACTTACTTCGAGTTCAGGCAAACTCTATGTAAACAACACACACACACACACACACACACACACAAACAACGCGAGCATTTAAAATTGATTCAACGCAAAATATGTTTGGTTATTATATTGCATTCGAGTTTGTCAAAGTGCTTTTTTTTTTTTATCATACAAAAGTCGAAGTATTTTTCGTGAAAAACAATAGTATTTAAGGATCACTTTTAAAAAAAAATCCTTTTTTTAAAATGCTACTCCTTTAATTCTATTTACAAGTTTCTTTTAATATATTTAATTAAAATAAAAAATATTAAACTTTATTAAAGATTAAATAAGTTTTTAACTTTATTCTTATTAAACATATATATACTTTAATAACATATTTTTTTATTAATATTTAATGAAAAGTGAAAGAAAAAATTGTAATAAAAAATAAATAATATTCTATCTGTCTCAAATTATAAGACACTTTTAAAAAAAATTTAACGTCTCGAAATATAAGATACTTTAATAAAAATAAAGTTTTATTAATAATATTTTTTTAATATTATCCTTTTCATATGTTCTCTCTCTTCAATAATTTTTTATCAATTGAATATTAAATAAAGGGTATTTTTAAAAGTTCATATTTTTGTCTTAAAAAAAATTATAAAGTATATTTAATAAATTTATTAATATGTAAAATTTTATTTAAAAATATCTTATAATTTAAATGGAGGGAGTATAATTTATAAATATGATTAATTTTTTTCTATTTATCTCATAAATAGAATTGAAAATAACATATTCAAATCGAGACTAATAACAGATTGGGACTAGAAGGGTGGGGTTTCACCTACTTAATAATGGAGAGGAAATTGAATAATGATTTTTCCTGGGGTTTGAGCCTCTGATTAATTGAAATAGCCGCCAAACCCGTACATATTGATATAATTAAGACGGCAGATTTTGCTTGGCTTGGTGTGATTTACAGTGGATTAGATTACTTGAAAGATTCCTTAATCCACCTCCACCATGTCTCACCATTTATTTATTATTTATTACCACCAACTTGCCAAGCTTCATCATATTTTATTCCCATAAATACACCTACCCACCTACATACACATGCCGTGCATTGGTTTACCAAATATATAAAAATATTCATGTCTCTCTTTGTTCTTACATTATTATGTGAGGGCGACCAGAGGGACAAAACACCCTGAGGATAATGTAATGTGTTTATTTAACATAATTTAACGGCCAATAAAATTTTGAGTTATAGTATTGATTATTAAAATTAGAGACGCACACATGCGAGTGTTTGGCACGCTATCGCATCATGTTGACTCGTGTTTTAATTGTCTGTCATGATGTGTGATATGACATCATGGTGTAAGATATTATATGGTGACATATACTCAGTATACTTAAAAATATAAAAAATATTTTTAATTAAATTTTATTTTTTATTAAAATAATTATATATTTTTTATATTTATCCTTCTTAAATACGTTATAATAAATATAAAAATTATTATCAATGAAAACACTTTAAAAAAAGTAATGATTATATTTAAAAAATTAAAAATATTTTACATTTTTAAACATTTAAATTTTTAAAAAATACTTTACATTTTTAAACGGAGGGAGTATTTTATGGTATGTAAGTATGTTTATTTTTTTATTTTTAAAAATAAAAATTTAAAATTTGTTTGGATAAGTTTTTTATTTTAATTATTTTTAAAATTATTTTCAATT